CAAAAAAAAAAAAAAAAAAAAAAAATGTGATAGGATGGTGATAGCACAGAGGAGAAAGTAGACCACTTTGCCTCAGCAAAGGCTTCAAATAGAATGTCAGGCTGGAGCCAGGTTTTACGGGTGAATTGACAAAAATGTGATCTCCACATACATACAGTGGAATGTCATTCAGCCTTCAAAAGGAGGGATGTTCTGACACATGCTACAACATGGCTGAACTTGAAGACATTATGCTAAGTGAAATAAGTCCGTCACAAAAGGACAAATACACGTGATTTCACCCCTCTGAGATACACAGAAGAGGGTACTCACTTTCACAGAGAAAGAAAGTATAATGGTGGTTGCCAGGAACTGGAGGAGAGATGAATGCGGAGTTCGTGTTAGTGAGTTACTGAGCTTTAGCTCTTCAAGATGAAAAGAATTCTGGAGATGGATGGTGGTGACAGTTGCACAGCACTGTGAACGTACTTAATGTCGCTGAGTCACATCACTTAAAACTGGCTAAAATGGTCCATTTTACATTAAGTGTATTTGTCCGCAATTTTGAAGACGAGTTGACATTCATTTTTGAGAAGGAGGACAAGTGAAAAGTCATGGGCACGTGAAACAACACCATGGGAGAACTCGTAGGAAAACGAATTCCAAGGCACAGAAGAAAAGAGAGCAAGAAGTGATCAGGCTGGAGAGAGACAGAAGGGCCAGATCAAAAAGCATTCTGTGTGTGAGCTAAAGATCAAAACCGCCTCATGTGCAATTTAAAGGTGTTTACGCTTGATCTGACAGTGTGAAAGCAATCTGATCAGAGTACCAGGGTTGATAAATCCTTCAAATGTTCGCCTCCCTCAGGGCTCTGTCCCTTGCCCTTCTTTACTTCTCTAAATGTACATCCCGACCGGGCCAGGGCCATCTCATCCGTGAGATTCCATGGCAATCTACACATGGATGGCAATCAAATAGCTATCTGTATCCCCTGGAGCCCTGAGAGCAAAATTTCCATTTCCATTGCCTCAAAGCATCTCAAAATTAGCATACTTAAAACAGATCCATCTTCCTCTCTCTTTCTACCTTCCCCCACCACTTCTCTAAGACTCTTTCTCACCCATAATCTTTATCTCGGATGAACAGCACATTATCAAACAAGTCAGCCAAGCTGGAAACCCAGGAATGACAGGAGGCTCTGACTTCCCATACCTACTGCAGTGCAGTGGACACTCAATGAGTGGTCGACGAAGGATCTGCAGAGCAACAGAATGGAAGCTGCAGTGGGGTGGAGGCGAGTGCTGGAAACAGGAAGGAAGCTGATAAAATAGTCCAGAAGAGAGATAAGAAGTTTTAAAACTTGGAGAAGAAATTAAGTGACTGATAGTCAGAAATGTGACCGGATTCAGTTGATTCATAATAAAGTTAAGTATAAAGTTAAGACAGCCTGTCTGTCTAGGCTGGACTTCCATGTTACAGACTTTGCCATTAACTAGCAGAACAAAGAAAGAAAACTAGGTTTGGGTGACTACCACGTTTTTGTGCTTATTTATGAGCATATGGGTATATTTCCCTTTTAATAACTGAGTCACTTAAGAAATGGAAATTTTATTTATTTTTGCTTCTCTAGCTTCTAACACGTTATCCATACTGATTACCTCTTGGTCTTCTTTCTTCTGTGCCTGGGATGGATTTTTCTAAGAACTCTTTTAGGGTGCTATTTCACAAGTCCAAGCCTGTGTACTCATCATTCACAAAAATGAATGTCAACTCCAGCAAATGCATATGAATGATTAGATTTAGGTTCTGTGGGTTGGAGATATTTGATGTTGTTGGGTTGTAAGGAGATCAACCCAGCAAGAAGAACATGATTGAAGGGGAAAATAATTCAGCTTTGGTCATATTGAATTTAAGTGTCATCAGAACATCTATCCATCCATTCATTCACATACTTGCTTGCTCTTTCACTATGTTTGTTGAGCACCTATTAGACCAGAAGCATTCCGGGCACACGGTGAGCAAAGAGCTGCAAATGCAGGACTGGAGCTCCAGAGTGGGTCACAGCTAGTGAAAGGCACCCCAACTATACCTCTATACACACATGAGGGGGAGCCCAAAAAAACAGTTATCTTTTGGTCTTTAAAAAAGTGAGGCATATACAGCCTAAGTAGTCAGAAGTCTCTAGACCTAAAACTAAGGGTGAGTTGAAATTCATTTTTTAAAAATCTTTCCTAGAGTTGTTCCACAGAGAATTTAGCACAATTCTTAACATATAGCATATATGCTAATGAGGTTTAGGCTGCAAGAGTGCCTTCTCTCTCCAACCTGAAGGTGAGTTCTGTGGGCCCCTGTGTTAGACCAGAAGCTAGGTCTGTGATAGGCACATCACAGGAACATAAGTAGAAACTAAGGGCACTGAGAAAATATTGCTTATTTATTAAATAAGGTTACTTTTCATATAGACTGTTTTAATTTTGGATTATGAATGATTCCAGAAATTCCTTATTTACATTCATTTAAATCAGACTATTAGAAGGATCTTTTATTCATTGTTATCTTTCTGCTCAAGAACCTAGATAGATTTCTATGACCAACATCTAGCCTAGTCTTCTTTCATAATATAATGTACCCTTAGCTCTTCCATCTTATTTCCTGTTTCTCTCCAATTCAAACTGTTAGGCTGGATACCTTGTTATTTTTTCCACATGGCTTGCCCATTCTCACTGATGTTTGATTCTGTTACCTAGTCTGAATGCCTTTTCTTACTGCCTGTGACAGTATCAAAAAATCCTATTTTTTGGTACGAAATCTTTTTTAAAGACCAAAAACACTCAAAGATACTGTCTTGAATTGGCACCATTATGGACAAAGTCAAAGCACATCCTCCCCCCCGAAAAAGAAAGAAAAAAGAAAAACACTAAACACAAGACTTACTTAAACAATAATAGTAAACTTTCATACCTCCCAAAAGGCATATTGCTTAAATAATCTAACATACTTAATGCACTTGTATAAACTTTAAAAAATCTCATTCTACATATTCTTCTTTCTACGTGCTTTTTAGGATAATTGAAATATAAGCAACATTTAGACAAGTCAATCTTTCATCGGGCAAAAGAAGGCCATATACAAATTTCTGAATGGATTTATAAGTCCATCTCTTTTTTAATGATGCTGTCCACATAAAGCGACTTCTTAACTAGGCATCTGCTAAATGTTTGGGAACATCTTAAATAAAAGCTGCTTAGAAGCAGCTCATAACTCTTCTAGAATTCTTGAATGACAATTAGAATAATGTGAAATAATAAAATTAGTGAGCTTGAATGACCTCCAAGATTCTTTAATCCGACACCCTGAGCTCTTGTTTGAACAATAGTAGATAACACACTATTTCATGAAGCAGTTCAGTTAAACATCTAACAAATTTCTTGTGTAATGAGCTAAAAGCTATTCCCACAAATTAGCATTTCAAATATTTGAATTCCATCATCATGTACACTACAACCAGCCCTCTACCCACCCCAACCAAGACTTCTCTCAAATTTTACTTGCCTGTCTAAAGGAGAATGTGTATCCTCACTGAACAACTACCTCTCTTTTGTGTACACAAGTAGCATGCTGTAGTGGGAAAACCTCTGGACAGAAAGTTAGGAAATCCACATCCAAGATGTGTTTATTTTTTAAATGACCTCTCTGTGCTTTTGTTTATTCTTATAAGAGGGGGAAGATGACCTAGAATGTCTCTTGAGGTATTCTCCAATTTAACATGTCCTCTATGCTAAATAATTATAACAACACTGTCAGTTAACCACCCTCACCTCAGGTACAGAGTATTATGCAGGCAGCAGGAAAAGCAGAAAACGCAGAAAACTGGAAGAAGGGAAAATATATTCTTCAGAAACTATATATGGTTAAGGAATGGAATCAAAAGGTTAAAAATCCCAAAACCAGAAAGGATGATTTTGCAAAGCCAATTTCACATATACACATGATTCAGCTCCTGCCAAATGGGAGGAAAAGTTCCCAAAGATGGAGGAAACCCCTTACCTGATATTGAGTAATTTCAGTGCATTTAGCAACACTCCCCTTTTTACATCGTAGTCTATTTTCTGATCAGTTCCAAAGCTTGGGGCCCGATTAATCTGAAATTTGCAAAAGAAAGCAATGTTGGAAGGTCAAGAAAGGAGAACAAATATTCAACACGTATTTGTGAGTTTAACATGAGCTCTTTAGCCAGTGGAACGACCACAATAAATTACAAAGCTGTACATGGTAGATGGCTCAGTAACCCCTGCTGCATCTCCATTCCCCCATCACCCCAGGTGAAAGAATTGACCGTTAGCACCACCTCCTACACAGCTGCCTTGGCTTGGCATCTTCACTACCAGCCTTCTCTGGCCTTTCTCCTTCCCCTTGCCTCCAGCCCACTACCTTGCACACTGTCGATTTTAAGTGTAGGGAAGTTAAGAGTGATAACGTATTCTAACACAAAAGAAAGAGTGATATTCACATTACTAGCACAGTAATAATGATCTACATCTATATATTTACAACATAGAAACTATCAGAGCCCCATCTTCACTGCTTCAGATCTTCCTGATGAATTCGTCCACTGCTACCTAAAAAATAAGTTATTTCTTGCTACCTGGCTCACATGATATAAATTTGCATTTCAGAAATCACTGATTATCTCGCTCAGAAGATCTCCTTCATGGTAGGAGACAAATCTCTATGAGGTTTTCTGAGTGTGTAAGGACCAGGGAGAACACATGATTGTTTGTTGTTCTACTTGCTGATATCATTCCCAGAAATTCGTTCAGATGAAAATGAGAAGAAACTGCATATACTCTGAAATCCATGATAAAATACCCTACCACTGAAAGAGCTGGAGTTTCTGTTTTGACTTTGTTGAGTTTTGATACTGCTGTCGTTGTTACGAGAATATAACTGAAATAGCAGACGTTTAAGAAAATTGCTGACAGGAAACTGCAAGATGGCAATGGGGCAACCCGGTCTCTGAAGCCCTCTGCAAAGGAGATCTGCAGTGGGTCTGTGACTCTCGCCCCGGGGGGCTGGGGACCCCAACATCGCAACCTGCTCTTCATACAGAGCTCAGCCGTTGCCACCACTGGGACATCGCAATGGACTGGACAGTTACTGTGGTGCAAACAGTGCCGTCGCCGCCGTCGCAGCCCCTCCCCCTCCGCCGCTGCCGTCGCCGCTGCTGCCGCGGCCTCTGTGACAGGTAGCACATCACACCACCCGGGCCCGAGGCGATCCACATCAAACCCCTTCAGGGAAGATCTGCTGGGATCGCTGCCACCTCTCCTGCGACCGAGACTGTCCTGCCCGCCCGGCGTAAGGCTCCTGTTGCCTGCTCAGAGGCAGGCAGCCATCTTGTTCCTGTCCAGCCCCACCGCCTCTGGGGCGAGCAGCTGAAATAGCACCACTTGCTGGCGATTTAAGGTAACAACACCAAAACGGGAGAAACAAGCGAACGGAGGGTGATCTGAACTGTCCTTCACAGCAGACCAGGGGCAACTGACCCTAACTGCAAATTAATTTACCAGCTTGAAAAGAAAACTAGAAATCAGACCTGAAAGGACATTGGACTTAAATGAAATGTCTCAGAGTGTGCTTCATTGATTCTATTCGTTTAATGACTTAGTTCTATTCCTACTGTATTGTTCCCTTTTTTCTTGTTTCCTTTTCCTTTTCTTCTCTTTTCTCCTCTCTGTAAACCATATCTTTGTATAGAGGAACAGCACACTAACAAGGTGGTTGGTTAGCTTGCATGTTAGCATCACTATATGTTTTATTTTTATTTTTTGTATGAGAGTTGGTTCATCTGTAGCTGTGGTCTATTGTTTTTATCTGTTTCAGTATAGGCCTCTCTCTCTATTTGTTGGCACACG